AACCATTCTATGATTCCGTGATTTTTAGGGCCTTAACTCAGCTGCTGCCTAGACGCTACAAGCCAAAACGCACACCTCACACTTCAGCATTAGGAGCAGGAGTGTGCTAACCTGGTCCCCTAAATATTAAAGGGGCAGTTAAAAATACACATTAGAGCCTCCTTGAGGAGATGTGACAGAGGAAGAGAATGTTTTCTTTGCGAGCAGAGCTCGCCCTGAGCTCCAGAGCTGACAAGCTCACCCAAGAGCAGCAGCGAGCGACGGATCTCACGCTGGCTGTGGGAGAGAGCAGCGGGTAGACAGAGGGTGTCATTCTTCCCTCTGCAACACACAGCACTCAAGACAGGCAAACGGTAAAGGACTTTCTACCCTACCCAAACCCAAGGCCACCCGCAGCCCCTGCGGTTGGCAGAGCTCCACGCCTAGAGCTCCTACAGGGAGCATCAGCAGCCCTACTACTGCCACCTACCTGTTAGCAGAGTTCAGTCCTTCCCCTCTAATTAACGAGCGCCCTCCTGAAGAGCTACCGACGTCTGTGCCACGTAGTAACACAAGTAATGCTACACTGAGGTTCGTCCTCAAGCATTGCTTTACCCTCTGTTTCAGGATGCAGTTGCTCGGGAGAGTTTCACGCAGTTTTGGCAATGCCTGAGAGACAGGAAAACACAACAGCTCGCAAACAAGCCACCCAGCAAGCCACGGCGTGTTACAGCCTCTCCCCGACAGCAACACCGGCCAGCCACCAGCCAGTCGGTGTATTTCTCAGGGCTGTTCCCTCCTTTTCCTCCTGCCAAGCGCGAGCAACACAGACCATTGGATTGGAAAGTCTGCACCACACAGCTGCCAAGATGACGAAGGAACATCCGCCCCGGCCTGCTCCCAGATCTAAACACAAAGCTTCGGAGAGGGGAGAGCTTGCCTTCCTCCCCCGTAAAGCACACCAGAAAGCACAGTTTGCTTCTACTTCCAGCCATGCTTTCTGAACCTTTGGGGAAGCTGCCTGACGCACCCAGCGCTCCAAGCGCTGGAGTCGGGCTGGGTGTGTGTTTTTAAGGTGAGGAAGGAGACGGGAACAGAGGAAGGTCTGTTTCTTTGAGGAGATCCGTGTCCTCGAGCCCACCTGCGCCACAGCGTGTTTAACCGCCAGAAGTCAGCCCAAGCAGGAGGAAGAGAGAGTTCTCCCTGCGGATCCGAGGCAGGGCTGGAACGCACGCAGACCTAGGAAAGCTCTACGAGCAGCTAAGAAATACCAGGCTGCGATGGCTGCAGCGTTACTAGAGCGCCGTGAAGGCAGAGCGGCATGCTGGAGCCACCGCGGCAGGAGATTTCTCTGCAGCGCCAGCAAGTAGCTCATCAGAGTCCAGAAAGCTTCGGCTTACATAAAGTTCCATCACATCCAATTTTCCAGGGGAATCCCTGCCTAGAAGGACACAGTTTAGATTCCCCAGGAGCACGACAGCATAATTTTAAGCTGGCACAACTGCAAGATGCTTCCAACGCGAGAGCGCGCAGTCAGAACAGAGGCACAGCAGGGTAGGACCCAGTTTTTTGGCAACTGCCTCAGGGGGACACAAAGAGCTCCTTGAAAACGACTCCTTCAACTCAGCGGACCAGTTAGTGATCTCTGAGCATCACCATGACCCCCTGGGGCTGACAGAATAGGGAAGCCATTCCCAAATTGTCTCTTAGCAGCATCGAAGAAACACAAAGTCAGGGTCTCCTCAAGGGTTTGAATCCCAATTCTGCCACAGATCCTACATGATCTTGCAGGCTATTTCCAGTCAGGAAGCGGATGACAACCACCTCTTTGTTCTCCAGAACCTCATCTGACAAAGCCGTAAGAAAATAAGTCACCTCTTGGGCCCATGTGGTTCCTCACCCGTTTCATACAAACCATAACCACGCTCAGCCTCTGGGTGTCACTGCTACTACAGCAAGTCCTCACACCAGGTCAACTAAGCTGTCCCCACCTCATCCCCTGAGGGGCTGAGAACAAACTACTCCTACCATACCAAAAGCAGAAGCTAAGTTGTAAAAGCATCATTGAATTCAGAGAGACCCCTTTAGTTCCGATATTCTTTCAAAAAGACATCTTTATTATAAAAGATATAGAAAATTAAACTTGTTTCTTCCACAAAGTTAATCACAGCAGTTATAAAACCCCCAAGTTAAACATGTTTAAGAGCGTTGGCATACGGAGCAAGCGTCTGCCGCTCGCCACGGGGTACGG